AAATCGCGTAGCTACAGTTAGGAGAGATGTTGAGTTCCATGGAGAACTGTATTTTGGCAGTCACCCAAGTCCACATGCTTTACCAGTGTGTGTACTCATGAAACCAGGCAGTGATGCCACTTAGCTTAGCAAGCGGTAGGCAGAGTTTTAGGATAGAGGATGTTTGTCTTTGGCATCTTCTCATTTCTTTCTGGCTCTTCCTTTTGTGCCACTGTTGAGTAGAGGTCTTAGGTATGCTAGAACTTGTCTTCTCTTAATCCTGCCCACACGGGTATCAGATCTTTATCGCCTTTGCTGACTGACCTCATGTAAATTTCAGTAGGAAGTTGTTCTGATTAGCACGTTTAAAGTGTATTGCCCACATACCTCAACATGCCGCTGATAGGGTATTTCTCCTTGAATATAGTTCTTGTACATGAACTTTTAATTAACTGGTAGAATTTCTGAAAGTGAAACAAAATGAAGAAGTGTGGGAGAAGTGGGGATTTTGCCCAAAATATTTAAAGTGAATTGCTCCCTCTTTGTAAGACTGAGTCCACTTTATTATATAATGGCAAATTTTTTAAATGGCCTAAAAGCTTTTAAAAAAAACCTTTCAGCTGATTTTATGAATTATGCTACTTTATTTTGGGGGCCAGTAATAATTTTCAGGGCTTTTTAAGTCTTTCATGTAGTTTTGAAAATCAAGTGCTGTGACTATACTGCCACTTGTCAGATGGATAAAGAGGCTGAATAAACTCAGTTCCAGAATGTAAATAGTAGTATTAGTAATGCTGTGAAGACTGTGCTCTTTTCTCCCTTTCTGTCCCCCTGTTCCCCACAGTGGCAACTTTTATAGAAGGACCCAAGTTGGTCCTTAGAGCAGTTTCCTTTGGGTGCCCCTTGCCATTGCCCGAGATTGGGTCCACCCCAATGTTTACCCTGAGACAGGGGTTTAAATGTAAGTGGAAACTTTGGGAAGTGCAAAGAATGTCAGTCAGTAGCAAGTAGGGAAGTGAGTCAGGGCAGCGCAGGTAACCGGAACAGGGCACATTATTAAGCCAATCACTGCAGTTGGCACCTGGAACTTAATACCTCAGGGAAAGTGGCAAATGGTTCACAGCATTTGGGATATGCATACATTGGCTTCCAGGTGTCATTGATTGAGGACTGATGAGGGAGGAGTTCAGGTAATGGAGAATCAACCATGTGCTCCTGTGGGCAGAGCAGCCTTCCCAGGTTCTGAGGAAACTTGAGCAAGAGAGAAGGATTCTGGGACTTTGGAGCTCCCAGAAAGGTCCCAGGGACCTGCATGGAGCAGGGCCAGCATCTGCTTTAGCCTTCCACATTCCAGTGCCAGCCTTGGGCAGACATATCAGGGCACTCAGGGAAGGTCCCCAAGCATGGAAGTCATCACCTGGTTATGTCTCTCCTTTGCCTAAAATCCTTGAATGCTCAGCCTTTTCAAGACAAAGACCAGAGGCTGGTCTCTGCCTGCTTCCGTCTCCTGATACACACATATTCTGTGTGTGTCTCTCATACAAATGCAGACATATGCACATTTCTGAACCCAACCTGTCCCCTTCTACCCTCTCTCCATCCCCATCTTTTTCTCCTATCTCTGCACTCTCCCCTATTCCTGTCTCCCTCTCTTCCCAATGCCCACCCATCTCCCATTCCTGTTTTCTCCATATTCCCCATCTCTTTCCTTCTATATCTATTACCCCCAATGTCTTCCCACTGTTTCTCTCTATTTTTATCTCCCACACATGTGTGCACACATTCTTTTACACACACTCATTCACTTATACACACCCATAGAATTTTAAAGATGCTGAACAATCTGCATTTCCTTGAAAGTACCACATTATCTCCTACATCCTTCAACTAGAAGGCCTCTCTCCCTCTTTCTTGTATTAGGTCTGTGTCATAATTATCTCAGTTAGCACTACCTCCATGGTATTATAATTTTTCATGCATCTGTTCTTTCAGCTCACTATGAGCTCCATGTCATCATTTTCGTACTCAGTATCTGACCCAGAGTGTGGCACATAATAAGCACTCGGTAAGCATTGGGGGACTCCCTACTTGATTGAAAATTAATTCTTCTATTTGTCCATGTTCTCTTATGGACAATGAACAACTACGTAAGAACTATTGTGGTATTTTTTTCACTGGTCTTTGGAACTGTCTAGTAATTTCAGTTATAATATTGAATAGATATTTAAGATAAAATTTGAGGAAATTTTGAACTCTCATTCAATTACTGCTAAGCATTGTGACAGCCCTCTAGGCAGAGCATGACCTTCAGCTTCCTGAAGGACAGAGTCTGTAGGAAAGCCCATTTTTTATCTGCCAAAGTGTCTTGCCCATTAATATGAACTAATTGAATAAATAAATGTTCCTTCATATCTTTTGGTTTAACATCTAAGAGGAAGCCTGGGGAAAAAAATAGGAGAAAAACAAAAGATAGTGAATCTTAGTTCCACCTTTCATATTCACATGAGTCAAGTCAGACAGTTTATGTAACTCTCTGTGCCCATTCTTCAAGTCTACTATGAGGAGGTCAAGCCAAGCTGATCTCAAATGTCTATTCAGTTTTGTAACTGAGAATTACTGTACAATTCCAAAGACCAATGAAAAAAAAAAGGTAATGGTGGTAGCACTTTCATACAAGTAGTAATATGATGAGGAAATATTGAAGGAATGTGAGTGAAAATACAGAAGAAGGAAACATAATGGAAAAGGGATGTGTTGTAAGAATAAAAAGATATCCCAGAGACCTGAAAGATCCGCCAGAACCTTCTTCTTCTCTTCCCATGACTGAAGAGCATCATCAACAGGTTTCATTAATTGAACAGAAGTGCAGAATAAGGAAGTGAATAGAAAGGTCCTCCTAAATTTATATGGGCAGCACCAAGCCCAGTGCTGTGAAGCAATACAGTAACAGAACAAGTTACCTGATGGGTTAATTCAATGCTCTTGGGTTTATTAAAATAGATTTCTCCCAAGGGAGTTAGGGGACATGGGGATTATCCTTAGAGAAGCTCTGGGCCGGCAGATGTTCCTGGGTCATGGGTAGTTTGGCCCCTGGAGCAGCAGATCTGACTATGAGGAATCTAGGCCACGTGGCAAGAAGAGAACAGGGTTGGGAGTCTGCACCAGAGAGAAAGGACGCAGTTAAGTCCTGATGTATTGTGGAAATAGGAGAAACATATGAGGTCTGGTCAGAGGAGAAATTGGTAATGAAACATGAAAGACCGATAGTTGGAGAAACAGATGCATGCAGAGACACATGCTCTTCTATTTTATTAGACATTTTTTTAGCTGGGAAAGTCTTGGAAAGATTCACCTATACAGTGTTTTCCAAACTTAAAAAAAAGAAAAAGCACAACTTTTAAACATAGTAAAACCCTTTGTTTAAAGTAGAACTAGGGGGACTTATTGCCCCTGCAGAGCATGTTTGAAAACCCCTGCTCTCCAGTGTTCAGGGGTAGATTGTAAATAAGTATCATATATATAAATACAAGGCAAAAAAAAGAGAGTAGAGCAGTTTTAGGTGGAAATCCATGGTAGGAGGTGGTGCAGAGTTCCAGTTTGTATCAATGACCAGTTTATCATAGTAACACTTTTTTCAAATATATTGAACAGTATTTATTTGAGTCATTAGTTTAGGAAAGTACCTATAGTTCAGTAAATTTTTCAGATTCATTGAGAACAATCTAAGTTGGACTCTTTAAGATACTTTCCTTATGAAGCCCTAATGCGATTTTCACTTTTTTTGCATCAGCAAAATGAATTGAATAATACTCTTATGTTCCCGTGCGAACATGCTCTGTCTTTGGAAGATATGGCTCTAAAATGATCCCATATTGAGGAAATCAGATGCAATGCCCAGTGCATGTTGGTAACTGATCTCAAAGAGCAGAAGAAAACATTTGTAGGCACTGCAACAAAGAATTTCTGCTTAACCTCTGATTACTTAATAAATCTGTTTACTTTGTAATCCACCCCACATCCCCCCTTTTACATATTTTTATTTGCATTTATTTATTTATTTTAATGGAATTTATTGGGGTGACATTGGTTCCCAAAACCATATACAAAACCAAGTGTACAGCTCAATAAAACATCATCTGCACATTGCATTGTACACCCATTGCCCCAAGCAAAGTCTCTTTGCATCCCTATTTTCCCCACCTTTGCCCACCTCCACCTAGCCCCCACCCCCTTTTTTCCCTCTGGCTATCACCACACTGTTGTTGGGTCTATAGGTTATATGTGTGTGTGTGTGTATTTTATTTTTTTTTAATTTTTTTTTTTTTTGCTAATCCCGTCACCTTCTTTCATCCAGTTCCCCCACTCCCCTCCCCTCTGACAGTTGTGGTTCCTTTTTAAAGATACTTTGCCTTGGAATCTGGATACTTTGCTTGTTGAAGGTTCATGGGTTAAAAATTAAATATCTCTGTGTTCAAAGGAGTAGATATAGAACAAAGAGATATAAAATGTACTTTCTTAATTGTTCATTTTATTGTTTGTTCTGGCCTGATGAGACTTTTATTTACTTCGGTATCTATTTAGATAATTACTGCCATGTATCATGTTAATAACATTCTGATAGAGAAAACCACAATTCTTCCTGAACTGTTATTAACAAAAAGGCAGTATATAATACCTTTTAAGATATTCTGAGGGAAACAAGTCAACTTTGGTTATTATTATCTGTTGATTTTTGGTGTGTCAAACAAAGCCCAGGCCTACTGTATGTTCAGAGGTATGTTTGTAATTGGAGTGCATCACTGCATAATTTAGAAAATGTCTGACACCTGTGATAGACCATGCTCAGTGACTTTTTTAGACTTTAATGACTGAGAAAAAGTCATTTTATGATGGAATCACTTTCATTAATTATAGTGTGATAATGATGCAGTCATCTTTATGCAGTTATTAGTGCCAGAGCAAACTTGATTCCTATGATGCCGATCATTGATGTCTACAGTGTATTTTTATTCATAGAAAACAGATTTAGTATTAAGTTGATAATCGAGCAAATAATTTACTCTGTTGCTGTTACTAGTAGGACGGGCCATGATATGTAGATATACAGATAAGTAAGATTGATTTCGTTTCCTTTGTTCAGGACAAAACTTTTCAGAGAAAACACTGTCTGATGTTACTTTCATAATAAAATAAATGGATTTTCATGATAGGTTAGTATATCAAGCTCTTATTCCCTAAATTGATGAAAGACTAAGTAAAAATCCATCAATTTTTATTTTATTTAAAAACATATAACACTAGAATTCAGCTTTTTTACGTGCTATTTGTGAAATTGTCTTCTAAGATCAGTTGACTTTCTTAGCAATATCAGTTTTACTTTCTACTTCACTGTTCCTTCTATTCTGTAAAGACTGAAAAAGAGAGAAAGGTGCTAGTTGTAATAATATCCACACAAAAAAATCAAACTTTGTTTATATTTAGATTGAATATGAGGCTCAATTTAAGAAGATGCAGCTACTTTCAAAAGATAGCCTGGGAATAAAAGGTGAACTGAAAAATGAAGACACAGAAAAGGTAACAAATTAAAATGTTAAAGTTTCTGTTAACTGAGCATTTTTGGAGTATTCATCTTTTAAGATATTGTTTTTAAAAAATCATCTTATTACAAAGATATTTTTGAGTAAACCTTAAGTGATTATTTGAAGACTTTTGCTTATAGACTATTGCTTTAATGTCTAATTCAGTTAAATTTGCTGAAAGACAGGCATGGTGGGTATAAAACAGATTCCAAAGAAAACCTCAGTGTTGTTAGGAGGTGAAATTATGTTTTTCTAGATAATGTTTTATAGCTGCTTTTTTCTTAGTTCCAGAAACATTTTAAATGAAAAAGTAAACAAAATGTGACATTTGCTTCTTTTTTTTGTATCTATAATTTTGTACATTTTAACCTTTCACAGATAAAGTGGAAAGAAAGGATTGCATATCTAAGCAACAGACAAAAAGACTGGAAAGGAATACTTAAATAAATTCTGCTATGTATCTGCCATAATGCAGGCTTCTAATCCTCCCGCCTATCTCCATATAAATGATTCTGTTCAAGACCATAGATGTTTTCTTCACTAAAAGCAGTAAAGCTCTTTTAGATGAAATGTCTAAAAACATCTTGTAATAACTTGGAGCATGCTGGCAAGAGTAGTCACTTGTGACTATGTGTGAAACCCCCTCAGCCAGTCGATATTGTAATAAGCAAAAATGGTAGCATCACTCCATTATTCAGAAAAGCCAACAGCGTGCTTGTTCCTTAGGCTGCAGCATTCATTAAGAAAAGCTTACTGGGCTGAAAGCTGGAAACAGATGATAACGGGATATGATTTTCATATTTAATGCTTTCCTTGGAAGAGTATGTGTGCTACAGATTGATAGAAGAATCAACTGCTACTTTACTAAAAGACTTTCAGGTTTGCCCTATAGCTACCGATGGAATCATTCAGCCAAGAAATTAACTTTTTCTTCTTTTACCTGCTTTATATATCTGCTAAGCAGGCTGCCTGGCTGCCAGTAAATGTTATTATGCAGTTAACTGTTTGGTATTTAAGACTCTTATCAGAAAAGAAACAGAGGCCACACTATTTTGTTTTTATAGTAGGAGGAAGGTTTTAGTTTTTCTTTTTATTTCTGTGCATTAGCAGGCATTAATCTGAATTTATAGGAAGTTTTCGTTTTCCTTCCCAAAGATTACAAAGTTAAAAAAAAACCTAGAATTTGGCACATTCTTTAAACTATAAGATACAAAACACCAAGCTCCAGTAACCCTGACCTATATAAAAAGGCCTTTAATGATAAATGATTTCTGTGACATTAAATGTATGTCAAAGATGGTATGATGTGATGTGATAGACTTATAAACCATTCAGGTAGTGTTTGTGTTTGACATTTCGTCATGAAATAATTGATGTTGTTAATCTATAAATTGGTTTATCTTCCTATACCATTCCTGATAGACACATTCTTAGTGCAGCAGTGTCAGTGGTACTTAAGTACAACAAGAGACTTTTATTTTTCTATTTTACAACTGAATCCTTACTTTCCATATAGTTATGTAGTCTCCTTTTCAGTCATATTTAAAATTAGGGTAGAGATACATCGCTGACAAGTCCTTAAAAAACTACATAGAATAATTAGAAGAGAAGTTTTTCCTTTATACTGAAAAGTGTCATCTCCTTAAAAGCTTTGACTGTATGTAAGAATCAAGTAGGTAATATTTTGAGAAATTTATATCTTGCCTTTTTCAGTTTCCCATTGATGTTCCATCAGTTAAAAGGTAAATACTTTTCAGCAAAATCATGAGTTGGTTAATCCTTATTAAGCGATACGAATTCCAGGAGAGCTCCTTATCATGAGTTATGTTGTTTCTCAGTGGAAATCTGCACTCCACTTCTTTAGGAGTCGAATGAATTAGTCTCTGCCCAGAGTCACTGGTCTCCAGAGACTGGCCTGAAGCAGAGTACAGTCTTACTGGTTGAAGTCAGTAAGTAGTTTTTGAGCAAGTGTTGTTTGAGAAGCCACCGTAGGCCCTTCTCTGAATGCCACAATACTTGCCCTTCAGGTGCTTTCCACAACGTGCTATTCTTTCTAAGGCGTGGGACAGTGTGTATAGGAGCAGACCTGAGATACGTGGAGAAAGAACATATTCCTCCGCTGAAATGAATAATCCATGGCTTGACAGAGGAGGTGATGTTTGATCTGCTGGCATGAAGGCTGGGTAGTGAAGAAATTGCACATCGTATAGTGGAATGATAGGAAGGAGAGAGAAGGTGAATGAGAAGGGGAAAAGGAAACAAGTCATTTCAGCAATAGGAAGACAAATTTTGTGGAAAACACTGTTTCTTTTCTCCCGCTGATAGCATAAGGGATTACAGAAGCTGCCACAGAACAAGTATTGATTTCTTGTTCTTTGGAAGACTTTCTAAACTTTTTAAACTTACATTCTATGAAATACTGTATTATTAGAAAAAGACAGTCTTTTTCATACAGTGTGAAAATAATGTGTGTGTGCCTAGAACTTCTTTGGAAAGGAATCTGGCAGTAACTATGACAGTTAAATATGCACATACGCTTATTTTAGCAATCTCCCTTTTGGTAATCATCTAGAAATAAAAGCTCCAGTTAATTTAATAGTGTTAATACAGTCAGACAGTTTAAATGTGTGAAGAAGGGATGGACAGGTGGTTAATGCATTTTAAGAAGAAGGAGCCTGCCTGTGGGTGAGATTGTTCTTTTAATTGTGGTAGACTATGAGTTGCCCCTATCCTTACTAAGATCTCTCAGAATTAGAAAGTGGAGTTGGAGTTCTGTCTCTCTGATGTGGATCTGCACATTACTTTTGTGAATAGGGAACGATAAGAGATACATTTATACCCCGAGCCACCCTGTTCGGGAATTGGGGAGAACAAATAGGGCATTTTAAATTGCACTGTAAAAGAAAGGGCTCTTGTCTTGCTCTTCTGTGACGTTTGCCAAGCATCCGTTCTTTACTTGAAAATCATGACTTAACTTTGTATTGTTTTGATCAAAGCAGTGGTTTAGGCCTAGGAGTGTTGGGAAAAGGTTGATACTAGGCCAGTGATGGCGAACCTATGACACACGTGTCAGAGGTGACACGCGAACTCATTTTTTTTGGTTGATTTTTCTTTGTTAAATAGCATTTAAATATAAAAATAAATCTCAAAAATATAAATCTTTGTTTTACTATGGTTGCAAATATCAAAAAATTTCTATATGTGACATGGCACCAGAGTTAAGTTAGGGTTTTTCAAAATGCTGACACTCCAAGCTCAAAAAGTTCGTCATCACTTTACTAGGGTGTGTGTGTGTGTGTGTGTATTTTTTGAAAATCACCTACTTGTCCAATTTAGGGATGCTGAATTTCTCTTGAAACTTCTATTTGCTTTTCTCCTACACTTCTCATGTACACTACATGGACCTGATTTTATGTATCAGGTACAAGTTTCATTTAGAGTCTATTTAGTAGATCTGAGTTTGTATTGGTTGAACTTAGTAAGAAATTAAACATAGCCTTCAGATTCATTATTGGGGATTTTTATGTTGCTGTTGTTTCAAAAAAACTATGGTGCCCAGCGTGTGTGGCTCAATGTTTGAGCATCAACCTATGCACCAGGAGGTCTCTGGTTTGATTCCTGGTCAAGGCACATGCCTGGGTATGGGCTCTATCCCCAGTGGGGGTCGTGCAGGAGGCAGCCAGTCAATGTTGATGTTTCCCTCTCATTGGTGTTTCTATCTCTCCCTCTCCTTTTCTCTCTCTCTAAAAATCAATAAAAACATTTTTTAAAAAGCTGTGTTTCAGTAACACAATTTGAATTTAACTCATTCAGTTTTTAATATTGAAGAATAAGGGGGTAGAGCACTGTAGTCCTCATATCTGGGTTTGAATCCTGGGACTGGGAACAGATTATTCAACCTTGCTAAGTCTTACAAGAGTGGGGATAATGATAATGGTTGTTTTGACTGTTAAAATAGGTAATGGGTATAAATCTGCTTGACACCCAGTAATTGCTTGACAAATGTTCACTAACCCTGTTGCTACTCTCACCACCGTCACCATCTCTCACCACTCTCACCATCTTTGTTCTCCACTTGGATAGCCGTACTCTGGTGCTGGCTTTTCACCAGTTATCCAGGATAGTGGAGAGGGCTGTGGGCACATAGAGGCTACCTATGAATTAAAGAAATGGGAGGTAAAGCCACCTGCTAGTAACAACTCATAATAGGTTGATTTTATAGTTACATGTTCTTCAAAATAACTTATAGGACATAACTTTTGAAGCCTAAATTTAATGGATCCATTTTAAAACTTAGGTAGTTTCAACAGCTATTGGATTTTATGGCCAGAAATGCCTCTTTTTGGTTTTAATTGTGAAAATTAAGTAATCTATTACAGTGACAAAAATGAAGAGTTAAAAATCACATTGGCATGGTGTTCTTAGTCAAGTGGGGCTGCCATAACAAAATACCACAGATTGGGTGGCTTACACAACAGAAATTTATTTTCTTACAGTTCAGAGGCTGGGAAGTCCAAGATCAAGGTGCCAGTAGGGTTGGTTTCTGATGAGACCTCGCTCCATGGGTTGCAGATGGCCACTCTCCCTCTGAGTCCTCTGTGGCTTCTTCTCTGTGCACATGCATGAAGAGAGATGGATCTCTGGTGTCTCTTCCTCTTCTAAGGACTGAGGCTCCACACTTATCACCTCATTTAACATGAATTACCTCCTTCAGGGCCCCATCTCCAGATATAGTCAGGTTGGGGATTGGGGCTTCAACGTAAGACTTTGGGAGGATACAATTCAGTTCATAACACATGGTAAAATAAAATATCTTCTTTAAGATCGTTATATGTAAACTAGAGGCCTGGTGCATGAGATTTGTGCACTGGGGAGGGAGGGGTGTCCCTCAGCCTGGCCTGCCCTCTTGCAGTCCAGGAGCCCTCGGGGGATATCTGACTGATGGCTTAGGCCTGCTCCCCTAAGCTGGCAGTCAGACATCCTTAGCACTGCCAT